AACTAATTCACGAAATGAAAAAAAAAAAAATCTCGCGAGAATACGCGTCTTCTTCGCTGTCCGCTAGGTAGTTAGAGTAGATTCGTACTGCCCCCTATAGGAGGTACTAATTAGTTCTACTTATTGATACGCTCTATGGCCAAAAGTATGTGGACACCTAACTATCACACACACATGTGGTTCTTCCCCAAACTGTTGCCACAAAGTTGGAAGCATACAATTGTCTAGAATGCCTTTGTATGCTGTAGCATTAAGATTTCTTCTCATTGGAACAAAGAGACATAGTCCAAACTTGTTCCAGCTTGACAATGCAAGATAAAAACATTGGTTTGTAAAGGTTGGAGCGGAAGAGCTCGAGTGGCCGGCACAGAGCCCTGACCTCAAGCCCTCTGAACACCTTTGGGATGAACTGGAACACAAACACCACACCAAGCCTTCTAGCTCAACATCAGAACCCGACTGCACTAATGCTCTTGAGGCTGAATGAGAAAAAAATCCCCACAGCCACTCTCTAAAATGTATTGGAAAACCTTTAAAATAGCAAAACTCCATGCTATTTCCCATGGTTTTGGAATAGGACATATATGTGTGATGGTCAGGTGTCCACATACATTTGGCCATATAGTGTATACTATGCTCAAGAATATTAAATTGTGTATTTGTATTTACACTCATTGGTCCTTATATCAAGTACACCTCTCATTTAGGTATATAGTTACTCACTGTAGTCTATCTGTTTCTATACATAATATACCAGGCTCTACAATGGAAACCATCACTGGCCAGATGTTACCCTGCTGAAAAGTCCACTTTATATACATAGACATATGATAGATAGATAGTAGATAGATAGATCCTGTGATGCTCTCGCTCTCGTTAATTAACGCTGCTAATCACACACTGTACCCCCGTAAACAAATGTTTGGCACAACATGACCATTCAGAGCCAGTTTAAGTTAAGACTTGTGTTAAGACACACTTAAAATCAAAGTTAAGCTGCAGACAGTAGAATAAATACATCAGAATTCTTACTGTAGGCTATTTGTCAGCTTCATTATGCCGTGCCTTGTTTTGCATATATTTAAATAGTTTTTTTTTTATATAGCAAATGCAATGCAGACTCTAACCCATTGAACAATTATTTATTTTATTGCATAATGACGTTCAGTAGACAATTGAAGCAATTGACAGGCAAAGACTCAAATTTTCCGTGGTGGAACGGCAGCGAGCCGTTTGGGAGCCGAAAGAGTCGACTCTTATTGGTGAGTCAACTGAACCAAATGATTTGACTCACTGTGAAAAGAGGCAAAAAAAATTTCCATCACTATTGTACAGTTCTAACAACAAGGCCAGTATGTAAGGTGTGGCCAAACGTCACGTGATTGCCTCCTGTCAGAAGGTCATTGGCTAGAGTAAAATTCCAGCTTACGTTGAAGGTGAAAATGAGCAGCATAAATCAGAGCGAAAACCCAGAAAAAGATTACAATACTATTTTTTTTTTTTTTTAAATCTTTTAGTTTGGGAGCCCAGTGACATTCCCCTCTGCTCTTCATAGTTTTGTTCACTCTTGTAATATGAATTCCCTCATAGGATATGAGGATATATTAGGAATTAAATTATTATGATAAGGGAGGGGGGTTATTGTTTCATAACATAAGCTTTTTTGTTAATATCAAAATGCAAATGTATTTTATGTATAACTTTTTTTAAACCATTCTCCAATCTGTTTGCCTTTTCTCTGTCCATACTGTTCTAAATCACTTTTGTTAAACTTAATAATAGTGATCTCTTTGTATTAAAACTCTTTGTATTTTACCTATGAGTCAGAATGCATGTATATAATAAGACGTATTTGAGTAGAGAAATCCTGCTGCATTTGCATTATTACTGGAAGATAACTCATTTGGTGTTTGAACACTAGAGACACTGATACTGAGATTTGAAGCAATTCCAGGACTATTTTTCATATTATTTCTCAATTGCCTTTGGAATTATGGCTCCAAATGTCACGGCCCATAAACGACCCATAAACCCGTTGAACGTGCTTTAAACGTCTATTACCACTACGAGTGCCATTCTCCTCTTTAAAAAAGTACATGGCACTTATTACAAAGACTGTTGTTAAACGTGGCAGCCAGACGACCGACGAGGTAATTACCCTCTTTGCGGAATGTAAAATGTGGCCAGATGAATACAGGACAATTGCTGGAATACATGATTGTTTGCATGTCTTCCTCTGTGATCTATTGTTGGCCATCTGTGATTTGTGGACAATGCCGGGGGATGGACTGTTATAGTCTGTAATGAATTGCCCCCTACATATTTTATTTCTGAAAGAACATTTCAAAAGGTACTGTTTAACCTCTCAGCATGACACAGTTGTGTGGTTTTACTTCCAATGTATGCAAGAAACATTATCATGGTCTTACAGTGAATCATTGCCTTGGTTTTTTTTTTCGGCCAGAAAGCATGCTCTGATGAGCTACATGGAACAGATCAATTAGGCTAGTGACCGAATTTGAAACACAGCTTGTGGAAGATGAAGAAGAGACCATATTAATACTTTAGATTAGCAATAGTGTTGCGCTTTTGGTTATAGGAGAATTGCAAGGTACAATTATATGAAAATAGCAAATATATGCTTTCGAAATGGAGACGTTTTGCTCCTTTTACAGCTTAGTTGAGCGGGATTTTGATTTACCAACTTCATAATGGCGCCAGTGTTCACTAGTGATTAAACCACAGACTAAATCCATGGAGTGATACAAAAATGTAAGATTGCAAGATTCCACATAGGGAAAAAAATCATTACATGATAACTGTGCATCATATCTTTGATACAAACGCTTTCAAAAAGCATTCTTTAATGGTTCATTAGATACTTAAGGATTATCATCCTAAAGGGGTTCTACTTGGAACCATATGTGATAGGAAAACAGTACTGTCAAAGCGTTTGCCCAGAGAGACAACCAAAGTACCATTAGGGGTTCTACATTTTCTAGGAGTGTACAGTACATCAAAGTATCTTCTTATACCTTTATACAATATTATACATTAATTCGTTTTTAAAAATGGCATGACATGATATTAGATGTCATAACACCTTCATTCATGCATGCATTCAGCTTCCTATTTTTTTTACTGGTGCTGCTCATTGTTCACACTAGAATAGTAGCTAAATTATTTAGTTAGTTAGAGAAGCTTTTATAAATTAACATTTTCAAAAGATCTGATGGTACACCTCCAACTCCATGTGTATTTTTATTTTTTCCCCCCAAGGCCACTTGTTTTGGTTGTTTTCTGTAGAAATCTAAAATAACCCACATGAACTTTCACATATCAGACATACTACAGTAATAAAAGGAGACTGAATGATATAAGCTTCCCATGAATAGTTCAGACCCACCACGTTCTTTTACTCTCACACTCACTAGGCACATGATAATGGCATATTCAGCTCAAAAGGAGCCCACATGATAAGGTTAATAAGGTTAATCAGTTTCTGTGGTTTAACTCTACAAGCCCACGTCTCCTGTGGAGAATGCAGTTGGGCTTTAAAACCGAGGATCTTCAGGCACACTCCTCCTGACTGGCCCCTTGCTGACAAAACTCCTAACCCTCATCTCGCTAGACAAAGAGGGAGGTCAGCGAGGGTCAGCAGAACTCGTGACATCTGCTAATTGTCCTGGTGGGCCGGCTAAGCCTCGCTCCACGAATACCAGTGCTTTAGTTGGTGTTGACACCTGGGAGGACTCTGGCATCTGCCACGCAAGACCACCTCTGGAGGAGTTAGGGATTATTTACAACACTAGATTGATCTGAACACTCCCAACAAGGTTGATCCAGTCATTCGTCTGTTGGACGGAGAGACGCAAGCTGATTTTGAGACAAATTTGGCTTGGGTCTAATAATAGAGGATTAATTATTATTATGATTATTATTAGCAGTAGTAGTAGTGGTAGTAGTAGTATTATTTATATATTTATTTTTTGACAGTTCTGCTTTGGTAGCCAATAAGTGACACCAATAGGGCCAGGGAGATTTTCTCGCTTGCTCATCAGGGATCTAGATCTGGATTTCTCTAAAGCTGCCTTGTGACATTGTTCTTATTCAGTTGAAAAACTGAAATGGAATTGAATTGAACTTTCTCTTTTTAAAACAAATGTTAATTCCTTATCATTTTATAATTCATTACTACCAAAAAAAAACTCAGCATTTTCTGTGTTCTAGTATTTTACATTTTTTGGCTGCTCCAAAAAAACTGAACACACTACAAGACCCAGTCACTTGTTGACAAGTCATAGCCTGTTATGGTCAGAGTCGATTAATTACCATGACAACCAGGGCTCGCGCGCCCTACTGTCGTAAAATCAGTCACTTGCAAATAACGACAAGGGTCGTAACAAAAAAACTACACGCTCTTTAAGAAAAGGGGCACATTTTAACCAGATGCGGGGTAATAAACGGCTGAGGCGGTGTTACCCCGCTGAGAAGTGAGCATTTGCATGTTAAAGTATGAGAGATGCGTGTGTTGAGAGGGGGAGGGCTGTTTGTAATAATGACAAGAGGGTTTATGCATTCGGGAAGCAGGGGTTTGGGTTTGGGATTTGTCCAAGTCTAGTCTTTTAAAATGTTAATTTTATACACGCGCGAGACTCGTGTGTTCCGCCAGTATAAATGCGCGAGGATTGGTCAACGTGAGAAGGGCGAGGACAAGCGCGGCTTCTCTGTCACTCCTCACTTCAGCCTTTAGGTCTGACATTAGGTCTGCAAGTGTCCGTGAATATGCAGCAAGAAACCAGAAAACCTCAGCGGATTTCTTCTTTTTCCATCGCCGACATCCTGGATCCCTCGAAGTTCACAGGAAGGCATCGGGATGCGCAAAGCGACAAACTTTCCGACTACAGGAACAAGAGAAGCTGCGGTGAGTTGCGGGTTTTTAATAGTTTGCTTTAGTTTAGGTACATCTTTAATAAGTGTTTTGTAAAAGATGCGGTGGGGGCTACAGTGGTGTAGTGGTTAGCACGCTCGCCTCGCACCCACAAGATTGCTGGTTCAAGTCCACTCTCTGCCCTGTGTGTATGGTGTTTTCATGTTTTCCCAGAGTTTTCTCTGGGTACCCCGGTTTCCTCCCCCCACTCCAAAGACACGCATTATAGGCTGATTGGCTGATATTTCCAAATTGTCCATAGTGTGCCTTGCGATGTATTGGCACCACATCCAGTAGATGCCCTGAGCCACCTGCGATAGGCTCCAGGTTACCCCACAACCCTGTATAGGATAAGTGCTACACATAATGGATGGATAGATTTTAATATAGCATCCGCAAGAGGGTCCCAAAACCACAAACCTTTTAAGGGCTTCTCAATTTTTTTTTTAAAATAGTGTATAAAAATCCAATCAAATCACACACCTCCATATGATCAGAGCACAGATTTGTTTTTTATGACTGTAATAAACTAACAAATCTGTACCATGGTAGCCTATTTATTTACAGAACTTCATATACTGAACTTTATTAACCGCAAAACTGTTAAATGATAAATTACTTCAAATTATTAGAATATTATAATAATATAAACTCTTTCAAATTCCAGTGATCAATTAAGGCTTACACCTGTAATAACTAACTGTACATCTTTTGTATCCTTGACCTGGAAATGTGAACATAGTGTATCTTAATCATTTAACGTAGTTTGAATTTAACATTTTGAGTAAAGCTTGTTAGTTAAGGTACACCACATGCACCTTGCCAGGTAAAAAAAAAAAAAAAATACAAAAAATCATAGCCTACTAAAGGTACAAAACAGAAAGGAAAATGACAGTTTGGTGCCATTATTTCTGAGCGTGCATGTCTGTGGTTCTCGTACGGGTCTGGGGTATCCTCAGGAGTTACAGTACAGCCAGAGGATCTCTGATGAAACTGTACTTTTCCATGTTGATGGAAAAGAGCCCATGTTCTGTACTTTTATTGTGTATCGTTTACCTGAAAAACTGACGGTGTACCTTTCAAAATCATTTGACCACTGATGTACCTTAAATGTACAATACAGTCACCTTCTTAGGTAAAAGATGGACCGAAAAATGATCCAGAAAAATAGTACCTTTGATGGTAACACCACGGCAACAAAGAAACTACCGTCTGATCCCTTTATTTCTGAGAGTGGTACAGGTTTACGGGGGTTGCTGCGTGCTGTTGGTTGATAAATTTTTCTGAAAAGTCGCATTTTAGAATAACCTGTTAAACCTGGCGACTATATCTTTCGTCATTTCCTTTTTTGTTTTTAATTCTTACACACAGAAGACAAACGGGAGACTCTGGGAGACTCTTCTATCACAGAAGGCGCAGCTTCATTTTCCTAGTGGCTGTTTGTGACTGACAAAGCTAAACATGTGAGAATGCAAAACACTGTCAGCTGGGCACTACTGCAAACTGTAGGTTTAGTCTGGAGTGTAAAAAAAAAAAAAAAAAAAAAAAGGGAAGCAAATACCAATACACTTGCTGCAGCCTAGTAGCTAGTTTGTTAGCCATATCTATCATGGCAACATTCATGTCAGTGTTTAGGATTGATGTCTGTGTTTACTAATGATATTGTCTACAACTGCCCATTTTTGAGATTGATGTACTCTCAAGGACTTGAGAGGACTTGATGCACGAGATATTTTTACTTTGCAAATCACAGGATTTAGGGCACCATTACGGACAAAGGGTCACTTCTGATCACGTGCTAGCCTGTGCCCATGACGACAACCTCAAGAGAAATAATAAAATAGCTTCTTTGCCCGTACATCATTCATTCAAAATAGAATAAATCCTTTATAGCCGGTCTGGGTTCTGTTTATATGGTCCGGTTTTTTTTTTGTTTTTTTTTGTATTGTTATGGATATCTGCATTTCTCACTTGTTCACAAACCCTCACAAGGGTCAAATAATTGTTGGTTAATAAGTATCTAATACTCTATTAATCTACAAAGCTCGAAAATGGTAGAAATGTAGGATGTAAATAGGACAACAGGTACATTTTCACTGCTGAGTTTGGTGGTTTTATGTTAACTTCCTAAAAGTTAAACATTAGAGTTAACAGCACTTGCCATGATGCCGAGTTTATTGAATTGAATTATAATTGTGAATAATTATGAAGGAAGTGTAAAGTTGAAATGAAGCCTACAGCACAGAAATAGAGAAATAGTGGTGACTTGCAGCTTAGTCCTGAATTGAAAGGTAGGAATTTCTAAAAGATTATTTCAAACATTTTAGTTTATTTTCGTGTCACATTTTCTCCATTTCAGACGAATTATCTGGGGATGAAAGTGCTGAGGGGTCAGATGAAGTTTCAGCAGCTTCAGAAGCGAAGGAGAGCCCTCATATCGGAGGTAAAGCTAAAATCAAGGGGCGGCGTATGCGCACGGCGTTCACTCTGGAGCAGCTGCACGTGCTCGAGCGCAGCTTCCAGAGCAGCCACTATCTGTCCGTGTTTGAGCGCCACGTCATCGCCAAGGCTCTGGAGCTGTCCGAGACACAGGTTAAGATCTGGTTTCAGAACAGGCGCACCAAGTGGAAGAAGGAGCAAGAGGGACGAGAGCTGGAGGAGCTATACCAGTGCACCACAATAGCACCGGTGGTTGTACCGACCACGCTGCCACTCAGTACCACCTCCTGCAACAGGTCGAGTCCGGTGCATTTCTACTCGGCACGGAACCTTCTGACTGCTTATCCCACACTTGCACTGCTCTGAGGCCAGATTCGACTCACAAACAACTTTCCTTTTCAGCAACTCTTTGAATTGATTCTTCTTTTTTTTTTTTGTTATTTTTTAAAAAGACTGAAGTGAAATGATTCAAATTGGACATTTTGGCAATTCATTTGCTCCTTTTCATTTGATTCTGATTATGTATTTCATTGTTCACCATGTTCTAGGCTAACACGCAAAAAAACATGGGTTTACATGGTGTGTATTATTAGCAGTTAGCATTCAAACTAGTCTTAGCTAGGCTAGCTAATATTACACAAAGAGGAGTTTCCGCTTAAGAAAATAGCTAGTTCTAACAGCCGAATACTGTAGTAGTCAAAGTAGACACAATATAGTGAATGTGGGACACTTTTTGGTAAATGTTAATGGAGACTATAGACAAATAAAACTATAGCAATTCATTTTAGGCCTCACCGAAATAAAACAGCCCCATAACCCCTCAAATATAAGATAACATGGCCATATTTTTCACAAAAGCATTTTGTTCAGGCAATGTGGGACACCTGGTTTGATAAAACAGGACAATTTATTTTGCTGTAAATATAAAATATTTAACGTTGGACCTATCAAACGTTTAATTAAACCAAGTGTTATAGCAATAATTCAACTACAAATATGGCTGTTTAACCAGAACCTCCAAAACTACTTGTGACGTCCTACATAACTTGAATTTACCCGAAGTTTGGATGATGATCTGTGTTGTAAATTTAACATTTGCGTAGTTCAATTTCCTTAGAAACAAATCAGTAAATAAGTCGTAACGCCATGGGTAGTTTACTGAACGGGGGAAAACAAATTGACTAGCCTGAGCAAGCAAGGTTGCTTAAGGTCACCTTGCTTTACAGAAAGTTCATAATGTAATCCATGTATTTAAATGTAAAGTAATTTTAAGTTTTAATTTAAGTAAATTTTATGAGTTTAATTTGCATATTTATGTCAATTTTTAATTATGTTTAAATATTTTGCAAGGGAGTTTATGCATTTTATTTCTTTGGTTAAAAAAAAATTAAAATGTATATTTTTGCATTCAGATGTTTATTTCTCATTTGCCGTCCAAGCTACTTTTAAATGACATGATTAACATCACTGCATGTGTTTTTTAGTGTATATATCCAGTGAATAAAATTTAATAAAATAATAAAAACACTTTAGCCTATGCACCTATTTAGTTCTGATATTAATATCGTAACCATTTGTGAGACTAGAGAGAGAGAGACAGAGACAGAGACATGCACATATGGAGAGCAGATCATCAAGACAGACAGGATATCAAATAGTCGAGCCATTCCAGCACACAAAATTAAAAAAAAATGTTTGAAATGATTCCAGGTGAAAACAGAGGGACCACATCTGTCTGCAATCTACCATATGGTTTGCATTAACTTCGAATGTCTTGTCAGCAACACTGATAACGTAGATGTGTTTTCATGGTTGTGCAAAGAGTCCATAAGTGGTTTGTATAATGCACTATATGGCCAAAAGTTTGTGGACACCTGACCATCACACCCATATGTGCTTGTTGAACATCACATTCCAGATTTAGTCCTCCCTCTGTTGTTATAATAAGCTCCACTCTTCTGGGGAGGCTTTCCACTAGATTTTGAAGCGTGGCTGTGGGGATTTGTTCTCATTCAGCCTCAGGAGCATTAGTGAGGTCAGGCACTGATGAAGGGTGAGGAGGCCTGGGGTGCAGTCAGCATTCCAGTTCATCCAAAAGGTGTTCAGCGGAGTTGAGGTCAGGGCTCTGTGCAGGACACTTGAGATCTTCCACTCCAACCTTGTCAAATCATGTCTTCGTGGAGCTCGCTTGGGGCACTGTCATGCTGGAACAGGTTTGGGCCTCTTTAGTTCCAGTGAAGGGAAACTGTAATGCTACATCATACAAAGACATTCTATACAATTGTGTGCTTCCAGGGAAGGTCCACACATGGGCGTGATGGTCAAGTGTCCACAAATATTTGTCCATATATTGTAGGTTAGCTAAGACGTGTATCTGAATGCAGTTACTACCCACTAAATGTAGAGTCACAGCATTTCCTGTATACAGTGCAGATCAGTGGGCATCTGCGCATTTGGCTCCAGTCTATCTTACATCAGTAAGACGGAATACTTTCACCGACTAAATTGAAAGCAGCGGAGAAGCACAGGACTGGTGTTATCTCAGCCGACAGGATTACTGGCTCCGTCTTGAATTACATAATGGATTTGGCTAACTGAATTCTCACTATATAAAAATACTGGAACTGCATTCTCTGCTGGAAACCACTATGTTTAAAGGAGCATGAAGGATTAATAATGTCCTTAAAACCTAGACCTGTATCTCT